GACTTAATAACTCCAGTTCCACCAGATCTAATATTCTATGATTCTATGAGAGTGTCACTGCAGCGGTTACCAGAGCCGCCGCCCCTTTATGGATACTGCTGGAGGAAAATCTTATAGCACTGGACATATGGCGATCACACACACCTAAATTGGAATGTACATAAGCAACACATCTCCAAGAAAATCAGTTACAGGACAGATAACTGTCTTACATGCTTCTGTTTCTTCCGGGATCATTGGACTTCCATGTGATTTTCTTAATGGGCCACTGCTCATGTGAGAGCACTAAAGAATTTTGTCTTATCCCTCCCTGGCTGACCCACTAAATGGAACCTAGGAAGATTGATTGCCAGAGTGTCGCTCCTCTGGTAAGTGGAGATGTGGCCTCAGTTCTGATGCTCAAAGGTGAAGTTACTGCTTTGTCTAGCATCCTTTGCCCAGTAGAAAAGATAGAGAAATTCACCTTACCTAAATGTCCTGCATTTTTCTAATGAGAGCAGCATCTCTTCTACATCCTGCCGGTGTACTTTCATGGGCTCTTACCTAATTCTGTTGCTCACTCCCTCAAAGCTGTGATAGCTTCATGGGGGGGGGGGGAATCATGTGCCTTAAACAATAAAACCCACCTGATTATCTGTTCATACGACCTTCACAGTTCTATACAATGGATGTCCTCATCATCCTGTGCTGCCATCAATACACATATGCTTCTCGCTGTAGCAGCCCAGTGATTGTTAGTATCCTCATTTGCATCTGTACATATTTCTGTATATTAGTCCCCAGTGAGTTTATACTGCTGTAAAAATCTCAGTGTCATGGATCTGTGGACCTCCTTACAAATATAAATAGGAAAAATTCCTTTCTTGGAGGAAGGAGGTTCTCAGACCCCATCCACCCTTGAATGGGTTGTTAATTAGAAAAATATTGTATTATTGGTACTCAGTTTGCTGTTCATTTAATTCACTGCTGTACAGAAGGATTGTTCTATTTAAACATGTTGGCTACGTCTACACTGGCCCCTTTTTCGGAAGGGGCATGCTAATTTTGAAAGTGGGAATAGGGAAATCCGCGGGGGATTTAAATATCCCCCGCGGATTTAAATAAACATGTCCGCCGCTTTTTTTCCGACTTGGGGAAAGTAGGAATAAGAGATCCTCCGGAATAGGGCTTTATTCCGGAGGATCGGGCCAGTCTAGATGCTTTTTTTCCGGCTTTTCCCCAAGCCGGAAAAAAAGCGGCGGACATGTTTATTTAAATCCGCGGGGGATATTTAAATCCCCCGCGGATTTCCCTATTCCCACTTTCAAAATTAGCATGCCCCTTCCGAAAAAGGGGCCAGTGTAGACATAGCCTTACTGTTTAATTTTCCTTAGAGTGCTTGTTTTTTCCTAAGCATATGGAAGTGTCTCAACTAACAGTTTCTCAGTGGTGGAGCCATACTTCCTCTGATTGAGAGGCTTGGTCTGCTTCCAAGGCTGCATCGAGCAGAATACCCAATATCCTGGATGTGTAGACCTTATTACTCCAAAATAGGAAAATTTCAGATATGCATTCCTATAATATAATACCAGAAATGGTGGTTTCCTTGAACTGATAGGGATAAATATTTGAAATCTCAAGTACTAGGGTGGATTTTTTGTTTGTTTAAATCAAATCTCAGCCATTTGTCCATAAAAAAGTAATGAGGTCATTAACTTCAGATTTACATTTTGTCCAGCTTCTCTACATAGTACCATGTTTTGTTTCTACTTAACCTTACTAATTAGCGTCCCTTAGTTCTTGTATTCATGGTAGTCTTTTGGTTGACAGTCACTTCTAAATAGCTGAGATTGGAATATTTTATCAGAGATTGGACCATAGCCAATTTTCTGCTGGAGTTTGTTCAAAGAGTAGAAGTGCTGTTCTCCTGTTGTATCACAGGACAATAAACTGGTCATCATGCCAAGGATATAGCCATTCATTTCCAGCTAAAATAAAATAGTTACAGAAGGATTAGCAGGATATGAAAGCTGGAAGCGTAGGCTCTAACAGGAAATGGGAAATCACTTGAAACAAGTCAGAGAAGTGCTTTGCAATCCTTGGAACTTTCTTCAATCAGAAGTTCATAGAATCATAGATCCATAGAGCTGGAAGAGACCTCAGGTCATCAAGTCCTGCCCCCTGCTCTAGGCAGAACAAATCCCACTAAATCAATCCAGCCAGGGCTTTGTCGAGCGGAGACTTAAACACCTCTAGGGATGGAGACTCCACTACTTCCCTGGGTAACCCATTCCAGTGCTTTACTACCCTCCTAGTGAAATAGTTTTTCCTAATATCCAACCTGGACCTATCCCACCACAGCTTGAGACCATTGCTCCTTGTTCTGCCATCTGTCACTATTGAGACCAGCCTCTCTCCGTTCTCTTTGGAACCTCCCTTCAGGAAGTTGAAGGCTGCTGTCAAATCCTTCCTCACTCTTCTCTTCTGCAGACTAAACAGACCCAACTCCCTCAGCCTCTCCTCATAAGTCATCATCCTCCAGCCCCCTAATCATTTTGGTTGCCCTCCGCTGGACCCGCTCCAATGCGTCCACATCCTTTTTGTAATGGAGGGCCCAGAACTGGACACAATACTCCAGATGTGGCCTCACCCAAGCCGAATAAAGGGGAATAATGACATCTCTGGATCTGCTGGCAATGCTCCTCTTAATGCAACCTAATATTCCATTAGCCCTCTTGGCTACAAGGGCACACTGTTGAATCATATCCAGCTTCTCATCTACTGTAACCCCCAGGTCCTTTTCTGCAGAACTACTACTTAACTGGTTGGTCCCCAGCGTGTAACAATGCTTGGGATTCTTCCGTCCCAAGTGCAGGACTCTGCACTTGTCCTTGTTGAACCTCATCAGATTTCTTGTGGTTGTAAAGAAATAAAGTTGTAGTGATCTTTATTAGATCAGCTTAATCAGTTAATTTCTTTCTCTTTTTGAGGCTACCTAAATATTCTTAAAGTCTAGTAGACAGTTATGTATATTGCTCAAAAGGATAGTCTGTAAGAATATGTCAGGTGAGTTTATTTGCTCTAGACAAGCACTTTTGCTGAATTGCTGTTTGTAATTAAGCAGGTATCTGGTCAAGCAAAATTGATACTGTCAGCATAGTCAAATTACATATGGCTACTTCTGACTAGGGATGTAAGGGAGTAGTCAACTAGTTGATTGCCCGATCAACCTATGCTTATCAGTTAGTCAAGTCAACTACTCGCATTTCCTCCCCCTCCCCTTGCTGCTTCTATATCAGAGGCAACAAAGCGGGGGAATCAAGAGGGGATCTGATTAACCAGGGTGGGAACTCTGTCCCATTTTCCCCCCCCCCCCCCCCCCCCCCCCCCATCAGCAGCAGCAGTCCCTGTACCCGATCAGCCCAGCTCAGTTCCAGATCACACAGGGTGTGGGACAAAACCCTGCTGCAACTCAGCAAAATAAAATTCAGTAGG